AAAAAAATGGACATTAAAATCCATCTGTTTCTGATTGATGCTGCTGGAAAAGATACATTTTTATCCTCCCAAATATATGTCCAGCTTGAAATTCTGTCTTACCCTCTTAGGTCTGTATTGACCCCCTTGGAAATCCTATTGGTTTTAGACCCCTCAGGGGGTTCAGCTTTGGGGCTGCTCATGCTACAGGAACTGCTGCACTCTGTTAGTGGTAACCTATCAAGCAAACTGGCGCCTGCATCAGGACAAGGATTATGATGCATCAGCCATTGTCAGGTTGATGACACAAATAATAAGAAATGCCCTCTCAATCGACACATGGCTAAAATGTAACAAAATCCAAACAAAGCTTTGACTGTTTCCCTGAGGTATTGATGAGGAAGCAGATGCTTAATATATTTTGATGCAGGTGGAAAATATAAAGAACAGTAGGCTTGACCAAGAGAAGAATATGGGGATGGGATCAAGATCATTGGAGCTTTGAAAACCTAGACTATCAGAGGAAATAGGGCAAGACAGAAGGTAGTTGTTCTTAGCCTTGGGAGAAGATCAAACTAATTCAACAGAACCTTTATATATGATTAAATTATCAAACATAATTGTGCTTCCAATTTAATTTAGGTTTATTGGTGAGTATGCAGTTAGTAAGCTTCATTATTAGAAAGGGACATAACTTGGGTTTCTACTATGATGTCTTACTGCTCTCTTCCTGCCATTCCCATTCTTATGAGTGCAACTTATACTGCAACATTTTAGGAAAGTAGAGATGTAAATGTAATATTTTATGCATGATAGGAATTGACTATGCTATATGAATATTGATGATAGTGATTATGTATCTAAGGCCATTGGTATCTAAATATCATTATGTATCTAAGGCCAAGAGACTAGGAGTTTGGGGAGGTCAGATCTGCTGTACAGGCAGTCCTCAACGTACAACCACAATTGAGTTCAAAATTTCCATTGCTAAGCAAGACTGTTGTTAAGTGAGTGTTGTCCCATTTTACAATCTTTCTTGTCACAATTGTTAAGTGAATCATTTCATTGTTAAGTTAGCACAGTTTAAGTGAATCTGACTTCCCCCTTGACTTTGCTTGTAGGTCACAAAAGGTGATGTCATGACCCAGAACACTGCAACTGTCATAAATACGTACCAGTTGCCAAGCATCTGAATTTTGATCACATGGGGATGATGCAATGCTCATGNCACATGTGGAAACAACATTGGATAGAAAAGTGCCCCCCACAATGTCGAAGCTTTCCCTGCATTTTGGAAAAATCACCTGCCCCGCCCCATGTGATATAGATAACGTTGAACTGATTTCTACTGGTCATGGTAGATGCGCAGATGCCCTCTATAAGTGGGGCAAAATACCATTACCGAATTGTGACTAGGGGGCTGAAAAGCAAACTATCCAACACATAGTGACAGAGTGTCAAAACAGAATCTATAATGAAAATTTCACTGATTTTCTGTCTGCAACCAATGAAGTGCCCCCCACAATATCAATTATATTTGTATACTTTATATACTTTTGTAATCTTCCTGTTAAGATTTCATATTTTATATTCTGTGTTTTGTATTTTAGCCCTGTGTTCCTTTTTACTGAAATATGATATGAATGTACCATAAGATAAATGATAATAATTTGCATCTAGAGGACTGCAGAAAGCATGAAGATATAAAAAGCATGAAGGTCAGTTGGGGATCAAGCTATGTCAATCTCAATGTCTCTTTCTCACTGCCACTGTTGATATTCCATGCTCTCCTTTTAGCTCCTAAAACTCGGCAGACGTGTAATAGTGCCAGTCAATCAGAATCATCAACACTGTCTTTCATTAGTTGTGCAGCATGCTTTAATTGTTTCTGCATTCATTTCAAGTTACCTCTTCAAATTTACTCAAGTAAAATGAAGAAAACTCGTAGGAAAAAATATATTCATCTGGATTGGATATTAGCCTATGAAACATAACGTACTGTCTCTAAAATATTTCTTTGCATTATTGATCATTCATGCCAGATTAATTTTTTAAACAAATCCATCTTTTTCAAACCAAAACATGAGCAAACATCAACATGTTTGTAAATTACTTGCCTTAACAATTCATATCTGTATCTTTGAAATTCTAATAGTGTCAAATCAGCTTTACCTTTATCCATCATTTCTTAATGTTATAGAAAAGAATGTTATAGAAAAAGAATGATTCTTCACATTAAAGAAACCCAAGAGGAAGACCTAATGCTTAACGAGCTTCTGTAATAAAGACATACCTCAAATTTTTTAAAAAATATTATGCTTTACTTATATATTTTCCTTTTTATCATTCACCATTTCCCATTCTGATAATATGTACTGTTTAAGCTGTCTTTTTATTTGTAAAAACTTTAATAACTTTTTATAAAAATCAACATTTTTATTAAGTTTCATTCTGGTTAAAAACCATCTCACTAGATGAGACAATGGAAAAGTTACGATCACATTACACACATTACCACAAACACTAAAAAGTAAGTTCAAAGAAAATGTTTACCATATTAAAGAGAAAAACATTGAAATACTTTGTTACCTATTATTCTTCAAAAATAAAAAAGTTCAAAATACATATGGGAACATTTTGGTGCTTTACCCCATTATCCTGTCCTAATTTTCAGTAAAATAGAACAATAATTAAGATAAAAATTCCTCTTAGGATACTAAAGATTTAAGGGATAAAGTACACCTTACACTATTTCATAAAAATGCAAAATGTTGCATTTTCTACAATAAAGTGCTTTGGGAAATGATAATTTGTGCTGGAAATGGAATACAAGTAGTGGAAAAAATGCCTGTTCTTTCCTAATTTATAAATTGCTTTTGATTCTAGAACATTTATTTTGCAAAAATGGGACTGATAGGAAATAAAACAAAATGCAGTCAAATATTGTCAAATAAGAAAAAAAGGGAAAAAAAAGCAATTGGCACAAGATTGCTTTTCAATGGAGAAGACCCAATTACAGCTTTTAAATTCCATGCTTGTGTAACTTCATGTTAATATAGTATACCCTTAAGGCCTCTGTACTACATCCAATTGATGATGTGCATGCACAAACAAGCATAACCAATTCATGAGTTCAGATAAAATATTATGTTCAGCTGAGAATCCGCTGAAGAATTAACAAATACTGTAGGTTGCATGCATGCATGAAAAAAAAAATTGCAAGTCAATGTAACTTTGTCTCAATGTGTACCAAGGTTCCTGAAGTATAATGATTATTATTACACTATAATGATTATTGTTGGATAGGATGCTGGTCACAGGACTGATTTAAATTGATATCTGTATGTTTATAAAATCATATTAGAACATGAACGTGAGCTTCTCACATTGTTAAAAAAAGACACTTTAAAATATAACCACAAAAACGTTGCTTGTTTTTAGTATTTCTAAAGCATTTTCCTATTTACATTTTTAAAGAGGATTACTGAACAAAGAATTGGGGATCTTTGGCAGGGTCACTGCATTCTTAATCATTAACTTCAACGTCTTCCATTTCTAAAATACCTTCTGTGCTTGTTTCTGTTATTTGCACAATAAACTGCAATTGAAAAGCAAGCACAATAACCCACTTGAGAAAAAAAATGGACATTAAAATCCATCTGTTTCTGATTGATGCTGCTGGAAAAGATACATTTTTATCCTCCCAAATATATGTCCAGCTTGAAATTCTGTCTTACCCTCTTAGGTCTGTATTGACCCCCTTGGAAATCCTATTGGTTTTAGACCCCTCAGGGGGTTCAGCTTTGGGGCTGCTCATGCTACAGGAACTGCTGC